TATCTGCGTTCAAAAAATGTAAACCAATATTTCATTGTCGACCAAAACCATTCTGCTCTTGGTGTCATTGACGGATGTATAAAAATGTTAAGAGACTTAAACCAACCACAAGGTGGTGAAGCAAATGAAATGTCATATGACGACAAATATAGACACTTCTCCATGGCAAAGATGAGACAAGTTTTAAATATTTACAATAGCCGTAAACAAAAAGGTTTGGGAAACCACTCCCCCGAAGAAATGAAAAACAACCCTGACTTAGAGAAAGACTATATATTTAATAATTTAGTCAAAAGAGACAAACAAGAAAGAATGCCGGGCTTCAAACTTCAGAAAGGTGACAAAGTAAAAATAGAAATACCTAAACGCGACCCATATGAAAATACTATTGACTATGACAACAATGGGAACCCGACAGGTACTCACATTCGTGTTCGTAAAAATAGAAGAAAGTATACAAGAGAATATTATGAAGTTTTAGGCAAACATGGCAAAATGTACAGACTGCAAGCAGAAGATAAAACTACTATTGTCAGACCTCGTTTCAAACTTGTCAAAGTTCAAGGTGGTATACTTTCAAAGACAGTTCCTAACAAATATAAGACAACTCCTGACCAATATGCTAAAGAAGTTGAAAATGACGACTAAGCAATTCTATACCATGCGTAAACTGTCATGTAAGGTGGCATGTATTCTTTACTTTGTCCCGTTGTTTGCGTATATCCTGAAACGAAATGTGTATGGTTTCCATCTCCCTGAGTGTCACCCCAGAAACAATTTATAGCAAACTGAACGTCGTCTTTAACATCATATCCTTTACCTTTTTTCATTGCTGACCAATCCCAAAATTTATGCTTATGCCAACCTGCTTGAGATGTACTTAAATCTATGTAGTGACTATGTGCAGGTAAATTTGCACCTGAAATCGTTTTACTTCCTCCTGTTTCCTTTGAAGAGTTTGCACAATACAAAAACCTGTCAACTATTTGAGTCCAAGTTCCAAAACCAAGTACTACTTCTGGTCTGGTAGAGTTCATTGACGTATAAATAGAGCCTATAGGATATAATGTTTGAAGTATTTCTGTCTTTAATGTTTGAAGCTCTGTTTTGTCTGCTTTCTTGTCATATAAATCTTGAGCAGTGAATTTAGTATTATATTCATCCTTCATGACATAAACATCTTTACATCTAATGTTTCTCATCGTCGTTATGTCGTCATCCGATGTTAAACCTTGTGGAAAGTTAGGAGGTTTACAATATAATACATCCCCACCAGTTACGTCAACCGTTCCTTCAATACTTTCTATAGCAACAGTTGTAAAACTTGTATGTGTATGGTTCTTGTCTGCTTTCTTCTCTAACTCATCGTTAACATAAGTTTTATCTGCTTTAAGGTCTAAACATCCTGAAACCCATCCTGTATCGGCTTTAACTTTAAAAGTCTTCGATGTCCATTCATGGTACCAGTCAACCCTTTCTTTCATTTCGTTATCTTTTTCATCCACATATTCCTTATCCGCTTTCTTCTCAAGGCTAACGTTTAAGTCTGTTATTTCAGATATAGAATGTGTATGAGTCTTTTTAGAATATTCGTTTTCAGCTCTTGTCACTTCACTTGACATTTTATTGTCAACATATGTTTTGTCTGCTAGTTCAGGATGAGTATGTTCTTTTGTTGCATAAGCATTGTTAGCTCTTTCTTCTTCTTTTGCTATTGCATCGTCTACATATTCTTTGTCAGCTTTGTTGTCAACATCTGCTTTCAAAAGAAGTTCATTTATAGGTTTCTCGTTTAAAGTTCCTTTTGTTGGATTTATACAGACAGTATTGTTCTTCTTGTCTTGAAATAGAAACTCATCTGTCATTGGGTTTAATGTCAGTTTTAAGTTTCCTTCTTTCAATGACTCAGATATCTTAGAATAGTTTGAAAAGTTTGTTGTGTTCTTATTTAGAGCTTGCATAATGAGTTGTCGGTTGTGTTGTATTTCTCTCATGGAAGCAATATCTTTCGAATTTTTATTCTAGATAAAATATGCTTCCAATAGAAAAAGAAAATTCAAGAGTTGCTACAACTAAACCATTAGATGAACTTTTTACTAATGTCGGTCAAAAGTTTGAGACAGAGACCGTAAAGCATGAAGGCTATCGTTTTGACTACCCATTAAGATGGCTAAGAGACCATCTGTCACAAAAGCTATTGGCTTTCGTAGAATGAAGTTTGTGTCTGTAGAAGATAAAAGTTTTCCATTTATTGTAAGGTTTCATATAGATTATATATCTGAAGGGAAACGAAAAATGTGGGAAGAAATTGAGCTAATACAAGTTGACCTTTCATCTTCTCTACAGACTGCGTTAAAAAATATAGAAGATAAAATAAATTCATGTTATGCAAAATGCTGATGAATATGCAAATACCGAGAGCACACTTTATGTGAGAATTGTATATGACAAACAAAAATTCACAAGTGTCATTTCAAATCTACGAAGACAATCCAAAGAAAGACGAACAAATATATACAGAATTCACTGCAATGTCATGGTATTATTTGCAAAGAATGTTAAATCAGAAAGTCGAACTTCCTTTAGCAAATATTTACAGTCGATATGCAAGAGATGAACCATATTTATTTAAAGATGTTTTCGACCCAGCTGCTATTATTGTTCATGCTTCATTTTCTGGCGCCCAAAACTCTTTCTTATGCTTGGCAAATGACTTTTACGAAAAACCTACAAAGTTATACGAACCACCAAGTGGAAGTATTTCAGACTTTCAAGTATGGTTTACTACAGATGGAAGAAAAAGAATAATTCCATTATACCATGCGTTTTACTTAGAACTTAGTTTCATATACAACTACTATCGAACGGTAAAAATATAATTTTTTAATACGGTTGAGGTGTTGGATTTGGTTGCCAACTAGACTGTGGTGCAGGTTCAGGCTGTTGTATAACAGGAGCTTGTTCTTCTGGTTCAGGGTCTTTAGGTATAATACCAACGAACTGACCTACTCTTTTACCAATATTTTTGACTCCGTTCCAAATTCCTCTTCCTACGGTTTTTATTCCATTCCATATACCTCTTCCAACATTTCGAAAGAAGTTTCCTATCTTACTGAAGAAACCCATTTTACTATATGTAAAAATCTAATGTCCGCCTAGTCTCTTATGTTTCCTGTTGAGTTCCATAGCATTCTTTAACTGGAGCTCATACATTCTGTTTCTCCTCTGGTAGAAAACATATTCTGGGTCAACTCCTGTGTTCGCGTCATCTGCATAAAGTTGTTTATATCCCACTTCAGGGTTTGTATAAAACTCTTTCCATCTCATATTTGCATACCATGGTGGCAAACCTAACGCAGCGTCATTTGACATGGCAGTTTGCATTTGTACATCTGTTGGCACTTGACCATAGTTTGCCATTGCAGTTTGTATTCTAACTTCATTTGGAATATTCTCTGGGTTTGGTTGTCCAGGTTGCTGTGCATTCGCTAAGTTCTGTGCGTCCATTTAATATTAGATAAAAATATCTCTTACGAGTACATATACTGAACATTTGCAGGCATTGGTTCATCTTCATATTCTCTGTACTTTTCTGCCACGTCAAAGAAATAAATGACACAATGGAAAAAACCTAAAACAAGTAGTCCGATTTCAAACCACATTTACTTACTAATAAAATTTCTTTATTGTGACACTTTCTCCAGTTTATAGGACCTCTCTCATATTCTATCTTGTCATATCTAAACTCATAGTCATGTATGTCCTCTAACCATCTCATAACGGTTTCCAAACCACTTTTATCGGATGTAAAGTAAAAGCATGGATGGTTATGTAAAACGTCTAAAGTTTCTAAAGAGTCTCTCAAAGTCCAGTCTACTTGGTATTGAAAATCCCATGTGTTATAGAACGGCGGGTCCACTATAAAGAAAACATTTTCCTTGTCTTTATATTTTTCATACAAATCTGTCCAATGACATCTCACAAACTCTATACCCTCAATATATTTTTCTATGTCCTCTTTGAAAACATTTGTATAGTTAAGATATAAAACTTTTGACATAAGTGTTTCAATGTCATGAACTCTTATAGAACCACTATATAATAGTCTAGCAGATATACTATCCCAGTCTATATATTCTGCTTTTTTCAAAACCTCTCTCACAATATTTTTCTTATCTAATGGTATACGTTCCATCTTACCTATAGGTATCTTTTCTTTTAACTCTTTCAATATATTGTTTGTGTCTGGAATATGTTTGAGACGGTCCATATAGTTGTCGAAGTCATTGCATATAATCTTTGAGTCTGGGAATATTATATGGCACAAATGGGATATATAGAAACTTCCACCGAACAAATCTACAAATGTTAGACCATTCGGTAGTTTCTTAAGTTCTCTCAATATAATATCTTTACATCTACTCTTATTTCCAAAGAACGGTAACGGTGGTTTTGTAAAATTCATTTATATATAATAATAAAAATGTTTTTCCCTGAAAAGTGACAGAAAAGTGACAAAACATGAAAACATATATAATTTGTGAAAAGCGACACATTATATAATGTTTTCGACCCAGAAGAAGGCTTCTTCCCAGAAGCAATGGAGGAAGAAGAAGAGTCCTCTGAATTCACACCAGAAGACTAACAATTTTCCGAATAAAAACTTCATTTATACTAAACATCTTCAGGGCTAGAGGGCACGAAGTGCCTGGAGGCCCCACTACCTTTTTTTTTTTTATAAAGAATAAAATTAACTGCTTAGAATCGAATTTTGAACATGATTTATTTTTGAAATTATTTGATCATTGAATTTTCGACGATTTAAATGGATCAATCCACAGTACAATATAACTAAAATTGATATACGATAATAGTTTAAAAACAATTAAGAATTGCAACCGAAAATGGTCAAAAATAAGTCACAAAAATATGAAATTTAGTTAGCTAATTTGATTTAATTAAATTCAGCGAAAAAATGAAATAATTTTTTTCTTCCCATTATGAGTTCTGACTATTCAAAACAATATGCGGATTTTATAAAGGCGCTTGAAAAGCTCTTCCACATAAAATCTAATGAACCTATCGAAGATATGTGCAGTATAATTACAAATACTTTGATTTCGAAGTATCAACTTTCAATCAATCAACTTACAAAGTTAATTTATGAGGCAATTAGATATAATTATGCATCTGGAGCAAATTACATCAAAATACTGGAACAGATCGGGGCTGACCTAACCGGAGTTTCGGATTACCATTTTGAAACGGAGGATTCGATTAAATTTATAGTTATGCATGTCAAATTGATAAGTTCAAGGAATACTTAACTCAAAATTCAATATCTGGTGATATTTTTCTCGAAATTCCTAATTTCAGGTACAATGCTTATCACGATGGAAAATATTTTGCAAGGTTATCACTAATTGAAGCATGTGCCTACTTTGGATCTGTTAACATTTTTTATTTCTTGATTTCGAATCAAATCAGTTTAATAACTGTAAGGTGTCTTAGCTACTCAGTAATTTGAGGAAATCAAGACATCATCAACGAATGTTTGAAAGAAAATAAAATGGATATCGCTTGTCTCAGAAGCATTATAAGAGCACACAATCACGAATTGCTTGAATATGTTTTAGATAGAGAGATATTCGAGCTTGATGATTTATTTGGCAAGGATTGGAAATCGGCAAAAGAAGTGAATTTTATGGGAGATGCAAATTATAAACCTGTATACAAAGATATCATCAGATATCAAAACCTTAATGCTGTATTTCTACTATTGAAAAGAAATAAATATTACATCTTTCCATGGGGTGCTGCATTTCCGCAAACAATTGATATTTTCAAAAACAATACATTTTCTAACAAACAAAATCACACTGGTAGTGGAATTATTCATTTTACATGTAAATCGAAAAATTCTGATATTTGCAGATTATTACTTGAGTCATACAATCAAATTATAGTCAACAATAAACACGGTATGGATATCAATGAAAAAGATAAAAATGGACAAACTGCCCTTCATATTGCAGCACGTAATAATAGTAAAGAAACAACTGAACTTCTTATTTCACATGGTATAAATATCAATGAAAAGGATAATGATGGACGAACCGCTCTTCATATTGCAGCACGTAATAATAGTAAAGAAACAACCGAGCTTCTTATTTCACATGGTATAAATATCAATGAAACAGATAAATATGGACAAACTGCCCTTCATATTGCAGCAATTTTTCATAGTAAAGAAATAACAGAACTTCTTATTTCACATGGTATAAATATCAATGAAACAGATAAATATGGACAAACTGCCCTTCATATTGCAGCAATTTTTCATAGTAAAGAAATAACAGAACTTCTTATTTTACATGGTATAAATATCAATGAAACAGATAAAAATGGTGAAACTGCCCTTCATATTGCAGCACAATATAATAGTAAAGAAACAGCCGAACTTCTTATTTCACATGGTATAAATATAAATGAAAAAGATAAAAATGGACAAACCGCACTTTATTATTCAATGCAATTTAATTGTAAAGAAATAACAGAACTTCTTATTTCGCACGGTGCAAACACCAATGAAATAAGAAAATTCTATTAAATAATCAACATCTGATTATAGCCTCTGTACCTCATCTGACATATATGTTGATATAAGGTACTCCAAATTAGGAACAAAGGCTATAATGAAATATTTAAAACAATCTTTTGATTATTTGGCCGATAATATACATCTCATTTTTAATTTTTCTTATTGATATTTTGCACCTCTCCTCGAATTAACTTCAAAATTTATGAAGTTCGGAATGAAAACCTTTGAAAACAAATCATTAACTCGCTCCGCTCGGCGACAAAAGTAACAACGAGGTTTACATGATGGAAAAGATTATCGCTCATATCATTTTCGCTACTTTCAGAAGATCTTACATATGTACTAACAGTAATTTTAAAAACAATAGAAAATTTAGATTTGGAGATAACAATTAACAAATTATTTCTATTATACATGAACATCTTATGATACTTGTAATTAGAGGATGCATAAAATTGCCAACTAACATTCTCGAGGCTTTAAATAATGACAATTTAATTTCAATTCAATAATGCTGTATATACCCTTTAATAACTTTGAGTATCACATTCAACATTTACTTGAAATCAATATATACTATTATTAGTCATCAAATAAGATAGAAATTAACAAAATGAAAAAAATCAAGCATAGAATACTATAATATTCATATAAATAGGAGTTCGAAAGGAAACAAAACACAATGACGATAATTAATGGTGGTGTTGTATATATCGGGTCTTTGAGAATGTACACGGGTATAAAATATCTTCAGGATATTTTATTCTTACATAAAATCAATTGTTTCTAAATTAAGTTGCTGATTCTAGGGTTACAAGTAGCAATGTATATTTTGGATATCAAATAAAAATGTGACATTTGTAAAAAAACCGTAAAATTCAATTTTTTTATATGAGTTATAATAATCTGAAACGAAATTACATTCGCAGAAAGAAATATCTCAATGACAGCTATGAGACTATCAAACACACACTTGAGCTCATCAGACTTGCAGGAAAGCTAGATTTATCCGATTCCGAACTTCAGAAAATGGCGATGAAACACGCCCAAGCAATAGAAGCAGCATGTTGGTCACCTCATTTACGACTTACTGCTAAAGAATATGAAGACATTACAGTTCATAAAACGAAAGATTTATGTTACGCATTAACCCAAAAATATATTCCACCAATTGTCGCACAAACATTGAAACAGCAATTACCCAGACAACCAATGCCACCACAACCAGCACCCCAAGAACAACCAGATCAAGGTCAGCAAACAATTATGTCACCCAAAGCAATTCAACCGTCGCCATCATTCCCAATACCGATTGCCATCAACAGACCACAAACACCTCATGCATTTCCGATCCCAATTGTACCTAAATCAGCACCATCTGCTCTTCCACCACTTTTTTCAGATGATTTACTTATGGATGACGGCACTGACAGACCTGAAAAGCTCGATTTTATCCCGAGCTTTGACAATCCTGTGAATCCATTTGAGGATTCTATAGATGATTTACCATTTGATGATGATCCAATCGGAAAATCACTAGATTTATCAATCGGATCTTACGACGGTCAATATGACAGGATGCACTCTTTTGAATAATGTACAATATCATTGTATTTTGTTTCGGAGATACAATTCATTTTTATTTTTTGTTTATTAGGCGTATTAGCGTTATTAAATAATTATTTAAATATATTATCATCATTTACCAATTGACTGTACAGTCGAAATTCCTTGATTCCGAGTTTGCCTATTCTCATTTTCTACTTTTTAAAACTTGAATATTTCAAAATAAATAAACATAAATTAAAGAAGCATTTTAGTTAATTATAAGACCAATTTAATTGAGATATAATTTTATTTTCTGAGTTTTCATTATTATAGTTTTTGGACAGTATTCTAAGAAGTTGAAGTCTCAAAACAATATTTCATCCATACGATTATGACCAATATCAAGAATTTTAATTTATTTTTCTAATGAATTTGTAATTTTTCAGCTTCAATATTATTGTGCTAAAAGAAGCATATTAACCAAGTTAACAGAAACACATTCCTTCAATAAGTTTCTTAGATATTTTGGAAAAAGCTCAAAATTTCGAATCATCATGAGATTATTTATATTTAGTAATAGCAATTATGAAAAAATATAGGGACCTTTATTTAAACTTGTCTAAATCGTAATAATTTCTTAGAATTTGGACTTAAGTGTTCTGTAAACTCTGTGGAAGTCGAAAACGGAACCACTGAGTCTGATAATATCAATAAGATATGTATCAGTTGTAATTGTAACAATTTCGAACTTAATTTGAACAGAATTGTTGGCAACTGGAATAACAGCTTTCCAAGTCTTCTTAGCTGTATTGTTTTGGACGTTCTTAGCTCTCAAACCAGACAAAGCAGACTTAATAATTGTATCAATCTGCTCAGCCTTCTTGTTTGTAGAGAATGATGTTGTAGATGGAGTCTGTGCTGTAGTGTCGACAAGTCTTTCCATTTTGACGCCGGACATCTTTGCAATTAACTCGAAAGCGTTGATTGACTCTTCTTCTTGTTCATCCTTCTTAACTGAGACTTCCTCATCGACCTTAGTTGCCTGTATTGTACTGGAAGTGACTGGAACGTAATCTGTAGCGAACCATGGGTCAGCTTTGATTTGTTCCATTGTAGCACGAGTTGATGGGTCTGCAACAAGGATCTTCTTCATGAGGGCGACAGCACCAGCTGGGAAGTATGATGGATATTCAAGTCTGACGTTCATAATCTGTCTAGCAAGATTTTGAAGATTTGGTGCATCAAATGGAAGACTTGCGCTAAGCATAACGAAAAGAATAACACCAGCGGACCAGATATCAGCTGGAGCACCAATATAGCCATCCTGGCAGAAGATTTCTGGAGCAACATAATTTGGTGTTCCGCATCTTGTGTAGCATGTATCACCAGCAGATGACATGATGGAAAGTCCGAAATCTGCGATCTTAAGATTTTCGTCGTTGTCGAGAAGAATGTTTTCTGGCTTCAAATCTCTATGAACAGCGTTATGCTTGTGCATATAATCAAGAGCATCAATGAGCTGTTGGAAATACTTTCTGGCCTTCTTTTCTGGAAGTGGGCCATTGTCAGCTAACTTGGAGAAAAGCTCACCTCCTGTTGCAAGATCAAGGACTAAGAAGATATTTTCGGTAGAATGCATGACGGCATGAAGCTTGATGAGTCCAGGATGATCCATTTGGCTCATAATTTCGATTTCACGGCGTAATTGCTTATCCATATTGTTTTGGGCAACTAATTGCCTGTTAATAACTTTAATAGCATATTTTTTGTTGGTTTTGGTATTGATGGCTTCTTTGACCTTCGAAAAAGAGCCTGCACCAATTGTTCTGAGGAGTTTGTAGTCACCGACTGTTTTCGGCATTTGTAAACTTATAAAGATATTTCAGAATTTTATCGTTCACACAATTCAATTGCTTTTTCCTTTTTTTAATGGCATAATTGTTGCATGCTAAGTTCGGTCAATGATAGAAATTGAGTGGAAATTAATCATCGAGGAAGTACGATTATGTAAAGTAAAAAATGTTGTGGGATTTTTAATATTATATATTATTTTATAATAAAATTTTTTGAGTCATTTTAAGAAGCACATATAATTTTTTGAATTTAAAAATTAAAGTAGTGTCAAACGAATTTATCACTTAATTTAATACTCAGATTTCTTAAAATTAATGAAAAAAAGGTTTTCTGAGAACTTTTGAGAATGGTTTTCAAATTCCATTATTGAAAATATATAGGTATTGTATGAAATTCAAACTCTATATTTATTAAAATTCTAAATTTTTAATAAAATAACTTTTCAGAGGAATATGATTTTGAATGGTTGATTAATAAGTATAAAAATGTCTACGATTTTAAGGAGGGAATTGTTCCTTATGAGGTATACATCATAACTATATACCTCATAAGGAACAATTCCCTCTTGATAGCTGGGAAACTTTCTCTGAATAACTTATCATTTGGAGAAAGTTCCCCAGCTATCTATTAGGAACTAAAGGCTATGAGGCACTGATTATATATTAGTGCCTCATAGCCTTTAGTTTCCTATTAAAAACGAGAAAACTTGTTCGAAATGATAAACAATTTCGAACAAGTTTTCTCATTTTAAGGAGGGAATTGTTCCTTATGAGGTATACATCATAACTATATACCTCATAAGGAACAATTCCCTCTTGATATCCTGGATATTTTTGAATATATTTTTTTAATTAAAGTTCTCAAAAGTGTTATCAAAAGTGATTTTTTAAAAATATCTCCAATTAATTAACTAATTAAAAGTATTATATTTTTAAAATTAAATAGTTTTTCAATTTTTTTGAAGGAATTGAGATACTTCCCACGACAATAAAATTGAGAGGTTTACATTATGACTGATCTTAGCATACAACATAATCATGATTAATACTATACGGTTAGTAAACAACATTATTTGGTCAAATATTTGTTAGGGGAGATAAAACATCCGACTGATTGCGAAAACCAGAAGTTCGTTAATAGTAGATCCAAGGAAATACATTAAATTCATTGAAATTAATTAACGATCATGTGACAAATGGGCGCGTAAAGGGTTGGCGTCCTAAGGCGTCCTGATGTAAACTATTCAATTTTTGAGAAGTTTACACCATAATTGAATAGTTTATGGCGTCCTGAGAGGAGATTTCAATGGGTATGGCGTCCTAAAAAATAGAAGAAAATGATTTTTTCTCGATTTTTCTAGAAATTGAATTTTTTAAAAAAGAAAAAAATCAAAACGTATACATTCAAGAAAGACTATAAATGAAGATTTTTCTATTTTTTTTCATTCTAAAACATCTTTTTTTGGATAATTTTTTTTAATAAATATGTAAGAAAGATTGAAGAAAAAGTAAATTTACTTTAAGAAAATTCGTTTTACATGATGTAAGACCCATAACAACTATAAATATTCAATTATTTAAAATAAAAAAAGAAAAACAGATTAAATGTATCTCACATCAAAATCCATTGACCTAAGGATGTTAAGTTTCTGTTTTTAAAAGTTGATATTTTTTTTAATTTTAAGAAAATTAATAGCATGTTATTAGACAATAGGAGTGTAATGATATTGACTAAACAGAAATGAGAGAATAGAGATATAATTTTGATAAGCAATATTGCGAACAAATTCTGAAGTAAAATCGCGATCAATAATTGAAAATTACGATCATGTACTGAAAAATGACGATCGAATTGAATGAATAGAATTATATCTAAGAAAAAATAAATTGTATTTAGAAGATGAACAAAGAAAGGTGTATGCTAAAAATCATTTAACAATAAATGGAAATAAAACGAAATTGTTAAAAGAAAAAAATGAAAATTGTTAAATAATATATTATTTTTTAGTCATAAGAATAAAAATATAGTAGTTATAAAAGGAATTAGACTTCATATATCAATTCTTTTTCTCTGTAGATGTGGAACGTTTGCTTTTCGATCTCTTTCGATGAACTTGAAAATATAAGTTATTATCGCTGAGAATCCTTTCCGAAATAGGAGCTTTACGTTTAGGAGGATTGTCGGATGAATTTTGTTTTTTATTGTTTGATTTTGTTGTTATGGAAGATTTTTTCTTATTTTTTTCAGAATTTTGCTTGCTATTAACTGAAACTTGTTTTGACGGCCCAACAATAGCATTTGTAGTAGGAAGAATTCCCAATAACGAGCGCATTTTCGATAATTGTTTTTCAATATGATCAAGAAGGTCCAGCTTATGTTCTAGATTACTAGACATTTGATTTGTAGAAGGATGGTTTTGATTTTCTGGTTCTAAATCTGTAGAGTCTGCAATATTTGAATTTTCGGAGCGAATTGGAGCATCTGAACCTTGATTTGTATCGGCTTGCTCAAAATTAGTTTGAATTGGAGTGGATGAATTAAAATCTGGATGATTTAATGTTTCATTAAATAATGCCATAATTTTTTCTCTTTTTTCATTAATAAACTTAGTGATCATTGTATCTTTATCTGTTAGATCGATCGATTTGAGTATATCTGCATCATGAACTGGAATATTTTCGAACAATGAACTCGATTCTATGGAACCATATGGAGAAATCTCGTTCTGAGCCAAAGAAAGATCACTTACGTTGTATTGTTTGATAGAAAAAATTGTTTTCTCAAGTTCTTTTTGAAAGCAGTCAAGAATATAATTTTTGTAGCTATCAGTGATAACGGTTTTTATATGGCGCTCGATCTTCTGGTTATTTTTGATGGCGTTATATTTATCTAATTGGATTTGAGATATCTTCTTAATAGCTTCATAAATGTTTGGATGTTTTAACGAAGAAAATTCTGAATGCATACTCTCGAGGCAATCATTAGTGAATATTGCAGTTGCATTATTATATTGAGAAGATTATTAAATTGTAGTGCGGCAACCAAACTTTGTTGAAATAATCAATATAATCTTTGATCGAATCAACTTTATTTTGATTAATTATATGCATTGTAAGTACAAATTCTTCATGAGACATGAATGGAGTAATAGAATATAGCTTAAATAAAGAATTTTGTAAAGTATTGAAATTTTTTGTATAAAGTGCTACAAGTTTCCTGTGTAAAGCTTGTTTGAAATGAAATAGGCATCCAATTATACGGACTTTAGGGAAAATTTGTTGAAGTGCCTCTATCATTCCCTTTTCAAAATCACAATGAATTTGAATTAGCTTTGAAAATTGAATACCCTTGACAGTAAAAATATATTCAAATGCCTTCTTATAAGATTCAAATGTGCGGTTTTTCATGAATATAAATAAAAGTGGTAGATATTGATTTGTTGAAGGTTCACAAATCATAATTGTTAGCATCTGTCCTTTTTGAAAATGTTTTGGTGTAATTTTAAAAGTTCCATCGCAAAATAAATCTGTGGCTTCTTTTGCAAATTGAATTGCCTTCTCAAAACCAAAAAACATCGTCTCACAATTTGCTTGAAAATCATGGCCAATGAAAAACTGCTCGCCATTTATTAAACAAAAATTAGCAATTTCATCGTCTGTAATTTTTTCTCCAACAGAAAATTTTCTGGACTTATTATAAACTTCCCTGACCAATGAATCTTTAATTAATGGGTTTTCATCAGTACCAACAGCAAGTTCTGTCATAAATTTTTTAATCTGCTGAAAAGTGCCGTTGTCTTCAGAAAATTTTGCCATTGCCTTATTGTATATTTCTGTCAGAGTCATTGATTTATGAAGATCATTTTTTTCATTTTGTAACTTTTTAAATTGTCTGCATTCGGGTATATGTTCCTTTTGTAAATCTTCGGAAACTGAACTGTTCTCAATTTTAACTAAATAACGTGCTTGACAAGAATGATCGATGCAACGGTAGTAACGTTCAATATTATTTGAATTAATAATATTTGTATGATCATGCGAATAAAGCATATCTTTGCGAACAATTGTATCAGGATATTTTCCAGTAACTGCGGGAATATTTTTAACTGCAATATAACTAAAATATCTTCTGACAGCTTTAGATTCATTTTCGGCGTATTTAATATTAAAATATTGAAGAACTTGTTTGATTATATTCGTTTTTTCATCTCTCGATGTTGATTTTTGGTATTTATCAGATTGTTCCCTGATAAATATTTTATTTTCGTCTGTAAAGTTTGCTCTTTTTTGATTAAATATAGATGATTTTCCCATTAAAAAATGAAATGATGCAAAATTTACGAAAACCGTTCGAAAATTGAATCAAAAATGAAAAGTAATACTTAAATGAGGAATTCTTTGAGATATTGGTCTTAGATTGAATGTAGCGTCATTCTTATATAGAATATATATTCATATCATCGGAAATATGATAAAAAGCATATAATAAATGTCAAAAAAGTGAACAAATAAGCAAAGATATTTTTTAAAAAACAATGAAAAGTAATACTTAAATGAGGAATTCTTTGAGATATTGGTCTTAGATTGAATGTAGCGTCATTCTTATATAGAATATATATTCATATCATCGGAAATATGATAAAAAGCATATAATAAATGTCAAAAAAGTGAACAAATAAGCAAAGATATTTTTTAAAAAACAATGAAAAGTAATACTTAAATGAGGAATTCTTTGAGATATTGGTCTTAGATTGAATGTAGCGTCACAATTTCACAAATATAATTTACTATACAATTTTATTCATTTTTTTAAAATGGCTGACGACAGTCTGTATCAACTAACTCAACTAGTCAAGCATAATGATTATTCTTCGGATTCATTAAATCAACTTTATCAATGCATAAGTACAATGACAGAAAGATCAATTGGATGCTTGAATTGGGATAAATTTTTCAAAAAAATCACAGTGACTGATGAAGTTCTTTTACATTTTTTAGCATCCGTTTTAAACATTGAAAAGATATCAGAATGTTTCAAGGATTCTATTTTTTATCACAATATTAATCTTGAAAAATTCAGTAATTTAACTGAAACAGAACAACAAATTTTAAATTCCTACAAAGCGGATAAATTTACATATTACATAATGTGCTCACAAATTGTAAAATCAAACTGGAACAATTTATCCCAAACTTTAGTTAATATTGCAAATCAATATTTGCCATTTTTAGATGAAGAAAAGCAAATATATATATTTACTGAAATAACTGGCAATTATCAAAATTTTGAAATTTCAGTTGCAAACTTGTTACTTTTTTATGAAAACAATGAAGAAAAATTAAGCAACTGTTTTAATTTAACATTGTTCCAGCAAATTTATTCCAAAAATGGAATCGAGCAAATGATATTTTTTGCTGCAAATACAATTTGTTGCAATAACACTTCTATCAATTTTTACAATCTCCTTGAAATTGAAGAAATGAATCCATTTGATTTTTTTTATTTCTCAATTCAATATAAAGAGATATTAAATTGCGATGATTTTCCAAAAGTTACAGAAGTAATCACAGGTTTAATCTCAGCTTCAAATATTAATGCTATTATGCGAATTTGCCAAAAAATTTTGGATAAAATTACATTTTATAAATGTAATTATTGCCATATTACCTCAATATGGAATTTTATCACAAATGCAGCAATAATTCTTCCTGATGAAGATTTATTAATCAAATTATTAAAATTCATAGAAAAAACAGAAAAAGCAACAGATGAATTATTCGAACCGGAGAATGATTTGGGTTTCTATGAATATTTAAATTCGATTTTCTCAGATATTACATCTGCGAGAAATAAGCAATTTCTCTTGGAATTTCTAAATACCCATGAAGATGACTTCACTTATGATCAAACATTGTGAGGTCATTTTTGATCAACAAATTAATTGAAATTCCGATCAAAAAAAAATTCACAAATTGGATCAAAAAATCGAATCTCAAGTTAAAAATAAAAAATTTCTACATTTTTATCAAATTTAGATTTTTTTTCAAATCATGCGAATTGATTGAATAATTGCATATTTTATCCCATGCATCTAGAAGTATGTGTAATATTTTTGCTTTCATCAAGAAATTGTCGAATTTGATCTTAATTTTTTTTGAAAAATATACTTTTAGAAAAAGAAATAGTGATTGAATAGCTGCCCATGCTGTAAAAGGGTTATTTTTACAAGTAAAAAATTGTTATTTTTCGAGCAAGTCGAGGCTTTTTTACCATCTTATTTTTGAAAAATTTACGAAAAATTATATCTGAAAAAACGCTTCATTTTGATATCTTACAATGATAAAATACCAATGTTGCTGGGATATAATAGCTACACCTGGACATCTACTACATTAATGCGTATGACAGGTAAAGTTGATTTCAAAAGTATAGCCTGGAAAGATTACAATAAATCAACGATAATTCAAAAAAATTTCTTATAAGTTAACATAATAAAAATTTAATTTTTATATTGCTTGTATTATACTTAAGTATATAATATATTTAAATCTTAGAATGAAAATTCGGGACGCCCTAGCTATTCAATTTTCCCTTAGGACGCCCATAAACCTCTCAAAAATGTGATGTAAATATCACAATTTTGAGAAATTTACATCAGGACGCCTTAGGACGCCAACCCCCTTTTTTACCGTGACAAATTAAGATCATAACGAATACTCTTAACATCCGCTTTTGCATCTATTGTGTTTACTCATGCGCTAATGATCACAACAATTTTGTCGAGAATTTAGCTAAAAATTTGCAAATCTGCTTTTTCTCACATCAGAACCAACATCATTGATAGCTTTCCGTAAATACTCTTTGTTGATCGTTGTAAAATCACAAAATGTAGGTTCCACCAAAATCCAATAAGTGAGGGTTTACAAAATGTTATAATGCAAGCCGTTTGAAAATAATTATTGTATCAATCATATCAAAAACATTAAGTAGAGATATTCAAATACGAAGTCTGTCTTAAAAATTTTGAAAATTACATCAGCTTAAGCACATGTTATGATTTTAGGAAGGTTATGCATAATAGCAGCTTCAAAAATGTCTCCAATCTCGAATAGCATCTTAGAATTTTTATTTGAAGGCAAAAATCAGTTTCATACAAAAAGATTGCCCTCTAAAAACGTCAAAATGAAATTAGATTAAACAGATTGAAATTCATGAGTCACTGTGAAAGTTCACCCACAGAAGATGATATAACAAATAATTGTCGGTTGCCAAAATATCAATTTATCGTTGTTTCTAGGATAAACGGCAATTATATTTTATCGCCATATTCAAATCTGGGGAACAATGATTGTCAAGAATTAATTCCCAAACAAACGTCAAAAACACTCAATATTTAGTGCAATTTTTCAATGGTTCTGTCTACCAGTTATCTGAAATTCAAATTAAAGTCAAATTGACGTAAGAAAAAAGCATGATAATTAACAGTTTTACTAACATACAAAAATAAACTTATATCTTATTTTTCTTGTTTTCTCGCAAAAATGCAGTTAAAGAATCAGAATATGAAGACAAGTCTTTGATGGCAATTTGCTCATCTTTGTGCTGTCGCTCTAGCTTTTCTATTTGCTCGGTTAATGTTCTCTTTTTCAATTCATTTTGTTCACAAATCTGAGCGAAATCTTCTGTCGGCTTATCTTCTTTCTTTATGGCATGTTTTAATAACGATATTTTCTTCTCAAGTTTCTCCTTTTTTTCTTTCATTCTGATCATTTCTCTAATTGTTTTGTCATCTGTAAGTGTTTTCAGTTTTTCTTCTCTTATTTGGAGGTCCTCTTCAGTTGCATCCAATCGATCTGTGATGTTTTTGAGTGAAACTCTCCATTGTTCAACTTCATTATTTAATTGAATAATTTCAGGTTTTTCTTTCATCATTAAATCATTTAAATTATGTTGAAGATCGTTTTTGAGACGTGATTGCTGGCCATTACTTTTGCTTGTTGATTGTATTACTGATTGAATTCTCTCGATTTCTTTTCTTTTGGAATTTATTTGTGTATCACAGTGTTCTATATCAATGTTGATTTCTGATTCCTGAAATATTGCTTTTTCAGAGCGTAATTCTTCATTGGCAAGCTGACTTTGAGCTAATTCCAATTCTTTTTTTGCATCTTCCATTTGTTGATCAGCAACAGCCTGTTTTTGAAGAAGAGTCAGAATATTATCCTTAGAAACTTCAATATTATAAAGTGTTTCTCTGAGTTCTTTGCTAGTTTTAGGAAGAGGACCGATATAATCAGTAATTGCATATTGATTTAAATCGAACCCTTCCATAATTCGTGATAGTTCATGCTTCACTGTATCCCACGATATGGCGCCTTCAAATATTTTGATATCTTCTTTTACAGTATCCATAAATTCAGGAAATTCTGTTTCAGATATAACGAGTTTAGAATCATTCTCTGATATCGAAGTAAGCGCGTTATCTACTTTATCATTTAGTTTCGTAATCTGTTCTGAGATTCTCAGATTTTGAGTATCGAAAAGAGTAACTTCTTCAACACTCTCAGTAGATAAAGAATCTATTGGTCCGGTATTTCGAAAAGTTTGATCGACTTCTCTTTGTTTTTGTATTAATACGTTATACTTTTGTTGGGCTTCATTTAGACGGAATTTTGTTTCTATATTAGGTTTTGGATATTGAGTTGTCTTAGATAATAGATCTTGTAGCTGCTGCATTGCCATAAAATTTTCTTGTTGAATTGCAGCGAGCTTTTGAGACATTTCGTTAGATTTTTTCATTGCTATTTCAATCATATATGCTATTTGATTTGACTCTTTTTCTAGATTCTTCCTTTCAACATAACTATTATAAATTCTACCATTTAAGCGATTTATATCAGCCTCAAGACACATTGAATATGTTTGAAGATCCCTAATAGTTGCATAAATTGTCGTTTGTGTTGACCCAAGCCTTCCCGTTAACGGTGAACGCTTGGGTGAATAGATCATTTTGGAATGTTTTTTTGAAAAATTCTTACAATCAGAGATAAACCCAATTTCAATCAAAAATTTTGTGGTATATAAAATCGCATCTGACAATTTTGGTTTACATGTAAAAATGGATTATTTTTAGTCAAAACACAAAATAGTTAAGGGCGCACTTACGCCCATCTAACTTCAATTCAAATTTTTGACAACTGGCGTGAAGCGTAATTGAAAATTAACCTTAAACATCTGAATTGAAGGCCCTGTCATAGTGGCATAAGTGCATCCTTAAAAGTAATACAATTTCCGGTCATAGAGAACCAAATTTTAGAAATTTCATAATTTTGATCTGAAATTTCCTAGAAAAACTGGCCTACTTTAAGTGTATGGTCTTGGAATAGCCTACTATTGTCATTACCTGAGGACATATTGCTCAAAAGCATAGCAAAAAGGCTGATAGAGCACTCAACTTTGAATTAAGACGGTTTGTTGATTCAATTTTGTGATCAATTCAAATCAACAAATTTATAATTAGACAAGAATTCCAAAATAGATTCGCTTTTGAGACTCCGCTTCGCTCCGTCTCAAAATTGACTCTATTTTGTTAAAATTTTGTCTAATAACCACAAAAACAATAAAATCGGTCCAAATACTGCTACTATTATTAATAGATTAATTGTACAACACTTTAACCCACTACAAAATTTATTGCATCTTCTTTGTCGTATTAAATATCTAGGTGTTACTCCATGAAAATCTTCTTCGTTAATATCTGCACCTTCAGAAATCAGAAGTTTTTTTATTGATTTATACTCATAGTATTCACCAACTGCAAAATTAAGAGCTGTTTTCCCTTCATAAGTTTTAGCTTTGATATCAGCACCATGAGTAATAAGGAATTTACAACATTTTTCATCATTTTTACCAGCTAAAATATGAAGAGCTGTTTTTCCTTCATAATCTGCAATATTGACATCTGCACCCTGCGAAATGAGACATTCAATTACTTCAAAAAAAGAACCATCAGCAGCATAATGAATAAGTGCTCTTCCTTGATGATCTCTTGCATTAATATCTGCACCGTGTGAGATAAGAAGTGTAATCATTTGTGGCACTTCCATATATTTCAAAGAAATATAATGGAGAGGAGTTCTTTCTAGATTATCTCTTAAATTGACGTCTGCACCATGTGATAGAAGCAGCTGAGCCATCTCTTGATGGTTTTTTGACACTGAATAATGTAGTGCTGAGCATCCTTCATTATTTCTCAAATTTACATTAACACCATTTAAAAGAAGTTGTTCAGCCATTGCGGTATAATTTTTATTTGAAGAAATATGAAGTGCAGACTCACCATCAAAATTTTTGGCATCGATTTCAATTCCATTTAATATCAAAAATCTTGCCGTTGTTACTGAATTATAACTTGCAGCAAAATGAAGAGCTGTAGAATAAGTTAAATCTCGTTCTAGAATAAAAGCTCCATGTGAGTAAAGATATCCTATTACCGAATCGTTTCTTAGTTTGGCAGCATAAAAAAGTGCTGTCCTTCCGTTATCATCTTTTTCATTAATATTAACTCCCTTTGATAGTAAAATTTCTATAATTTCAAGGTTATTTTGTTCAACGGCAAGTTGAAGATAAGTTTCTCCTAGATAAAGTGGTTTATCAATATTTGCATTATGTGAGAGAAGAAGATTAACCATTTTCGGATTCTTATTAATAATAGCATAATAGAGGGCAGTACTCCTCTCATGATCGAAGTTATTAATTGTAGCACCAGATAAGATTAGGAACTTTGCAATCTCGAGATTATCATTTTGACATGCATATATTAAAGCAGTTTTTCCACTTTTATCATAAGCATTAATATCACCTCCATTTGAGATAATGAAATTTATAAATTCACTGTTGTTGTTTATAACAGCAAGATGAATTGCAGTTCTTCCATCCTTACTTTTGCTATTTAAGTCTGTTCCACGTTCGATCAGATATTTTACAATTTCTGTATAATTATTTTCAAATGCAATATAAAGTGGAGTAACTCCATCATTATCTGATATATTTATATCTGCTTTATATGATATTAAAAGCTTTGCTGCTTCAAAATTTTTAAATAATTCTGCATAATGAAGAGATGTTCGTCCACTATAATCTATTGCGTTGATATCTGCTCCATGAGTTATCAGAAATTCGAGTGTATCATTAGATTGATGCAAAACTGCAAAATGAAGAGGTATTTTGCCATCTATTGTCCTTGCATTTATATTTGCCCCATGAGATAATAGAATTTCAGCAATATCCTTATTATTCATCCATAAGGCGAGATGAAGAGGACAACAACCATAATTTAAATTTCTAGAATTAATATCTATTTCTTGTTGAATATAAGAATTTGTTTCACTATTATTCTGAATGTCTAAATTATATGAGAATAGAAGTTCTATCACTTCTTTACTATTGTTAAAAACTGCATAATGAAGTGCCGACTCGTGATTTTCATCATATAAATTGATATCTGCACCATGTGTGATTAGAAGTTCTGCAATTGTGACGTTATTGTTGATTGCTGCATAATGCAGAGCAGTAACTTTCTGGTCATTTTGTGCATTTACATTGACTCCATGTTCTATGAAAATTTCTGCCAACTCGGTATTATTGTTCATCGCAGCATTATGGAGGACAGTTTGGCCTGCAATTGTCATTAAATTGACATTTGCACCATTATCAATAAGAAAATTCACAGTTTCAATGTTGTTATTCAAGGTCGCCAAATATAACGGCGTTTCTTTATTTTTATTTTTAGAATCTATTTTGGAACCATGAGCTATCAATGTTTTGACAGTTTGAATATTTTTACATTTTGAGGCTATATGAAGTGCTGTGTCTCCATTTATATTTTCTTTATTAACATTGATCCCATGAGATAATAAGAATTCGACCATTTTTGAATAGTTATTTTTTACTGAAAGATGGAGAGCGCTATCTCCTTCTTCTGTTTTGGAATTGATCTTCGCACCATGAGAAAGTAGATGCACCATTAAACATTGTGAATTAAATAGTGCTGCATATGGGAAACATTTATTTATATCTTTCGTTTGATCAAGATAAACTAAAAATGCATGAAGATTGTTGTATTCACAACATTCTCTTAAATCTATTTGTAAGTTGTATTCTCGTATTAAGAAAGAGACAAAGTCGATGTTATGTGAAATTATTGCATATTTCATGCATTTTTGAGTTGGTACTTGATATCTTAAGCATTCATTCATTATGTCTGGAACACCACTCAAAAACGAAAATTTGAGACACTTTTTAGTGATGTCTGGTTGATACTGTTCTTTCAAAAACTTGAAACACTTTACAGATCCATAATAGCAACATAACTCAAGTAATGAGTATCCTTTTGATGAAAATGGATAAAAATCATTTATCATCCTCCGTTTAATTTTGAATCCTTCTCTTTCGGTGAATGAAACAAATGATTGTTTGTCATCATTCATGATTGCTCTGCTGAATGTATTTTCTTTATATATTTCTAATGAGATATTTCTCGAATCATAACACTTGAACTTCTCTATATTATTCTGATTGAAAACTACACCAAGATCTTTATAAAAAAGTAATCAAAAATTGATGATTTTTCGTTTGTACGATCGATATTAAATTCTTGATAAATTTTCTTTATTATGAACCAATAAGATGGTAGATATCGATTATTGTATAATGATGCGTTTTCGAGTATGTCAAATATCTGATTTGGCAAAAATATTTCTGTTTCGATGAAATTTGTTCTGATTTCATCATAGATTATATTGATTTCTTTGACATCGAATGTATTTAAATTGTATATTTTGTTTATAACGTCATTATAATCATGACATATATCCATAAATTCACTATAGATATCTCTCTCCATGATTGCACTTTGACACTTTTTAAATCAATTAACAATTCTTGGAGAAAATCTATTTTATCTTTGAGAAAACATATCAACACACAATGAATAATAATATTTCATTTTAAAAGATATTGTAAAATTGGAGAAATTTTGTCCAAATTGTTAATATTATGTAACTTCTAGCAATACTAATCTTGAATCATAGGAAAAATCAAGCACATAAGATAAAAAATTATGATTGCTGCATAAATCATTTGATTATTGAACAAAAATCTTAAATTCTCATAATTTATGTTAATTCTGAATCATGATTCTTTAATATGTGAATGGTGATAATCATATTTCTATAGAATCTAAAACATCTAATAATTGAAATTTCACTTAATCTAATGATATTCCTAAATATAAATGTTCTGGATGTCTTATATCCATAATTAGTTGTGCATTAGAGTTGTTTAAAGAAATGATGAAGTCCAAAAATTGTGAAAGTTGAAATATAAATGAAATGAATTTGATTTCCGAAAGTTTTCTAGCCAATACAAGAAGTTTTTCTCGACAATAATGATCTGCCTTATATAGATATATGTTCTCTACTAGAATATGGTAAAAATTTGCATTCTTTTGTAACAAGCATATCATGTTTCTTTTTGTCCGAAAAAGTTAAATAAAGTTTTATTATCGATAGTGTGAAATTATAAACTTACCACAATTTTCTAGCCCATAAAATCATATGTGAAATAATGAAAGAAGTTCAATTTGCTGCATAATGAAGAGTTGTCTCACAAGTTATTTTTAGCATTGATATTTCATTTGAAATTAGAAGTTTGTGTGTTTACTTTACTATCATTATGTATTACAATATGAAGAGTTGCTTTTATATATATAACACTTTTTTACCATGCAAAATTAGAAGTATTGGTATTTCATTAACATATGCTGCAATATCAATAGCAGTTTTCCATTTTTATCATTTTTATTGCTATTTGGACCATATGAAATTAGAAGTTTGGCTATCTATTTACGGTTCTTTCATTTTTATCTTTTCAATTATATCATATGAAATGAAATTGGATAATTGGAAACTTTTCTATATTATGTATTGCAATATGAAGAGCCGCCATTCCATTTTTTATCTTTTTCATTGATGCTTATTTTATATGAATGGATAAGAATTTCATTAAGGGTGCACTTACACCCCTATGACATGGCTTTCAATTCAGATGTTTAAGGTTAATTTTCAATTGTGCTTCACGCCAGTTGTCAAAAATTAGCGATTTTCCAAAAAAGTGACACCGCCTTCGGCGGTGTCACTTTTTTGGAAAATCGGAATTCTTGACATTCAATTTTGATCAGAAACCCCTTTCGAAAAAATTTTCGAAGAATTTTTTCTCTCTGAAAAAAAATTTTTTCTGAACTTCATTTTTCAGGAACTCTACCAACATTCCCTTCTCTCAGGAACCCGCTTGCAATATCTTTTGCGTAATGACCTATTACAAACCTATCTGGGTTCTATTGCTGTTCTTATCTTCCAATAATTCAGAGAAGATTGCGATATCATATTCATGATTTGGTAAAATCATCAATTTTTGGTTCTAATCTTGGTCCATTTACACGGCAATATCCATGGTGCTATCATAATCCATTTTAAAACACTAAAAATTACATGAATAAACTTTACATTTATTCAAAAATTTTTTTTTGAGAGAAAAAATTCCGAAAATTTTTAGAAAGGGGTTGAATATCAAAATTGAATAAGCAAGAATTTGATTTTAAGTCAGATGGGCGTAAGTGCAGCCTTAAGAGTGCACCTACGCTTCTATGACACGACCTTCAATTCAGATGTTATTTTTCAATAACGCTTCACGGCAGTTGTCAAAAAATTGAATTAAAGTCAGATGCAGCCTTTAAAAAAATTTAATAAAATTAATAAAAGTTTACTTAAAAAGTGCTCTTTGCCTTCTTGCACGTTTCATTTCCGTGGTAAACTGTTCCATCAGGGTCAACATAAATCTGGCCATCGTTAATTGGCTTTCCGCAAGTAGCGCAGACAGTTGTCTTATCAATAACAACAGAAGAAGACCTTGCCTTTGCTAGTTTGTACTCTGCATCGACTTTCATTGACTCTGTGACTGCGATTTGCTTGTCAAGAGACTCATTTCTTTGGACTAAGAGGTTGAAGAGGATTCTGATAACATCAGCGACTTGTTTGACTGGAGTATCCTTCGGGATCATCTTGATTGTTGAGACAGGATCGATGTAAGAAATATTTCTTGAAATGAATTCGCATTTCTTATCGAACAACTTGTCAGCTCCAATCAAAGTGAATGCTGCTTGGAATGCTTGTGGTGGATCCGGTGCTGCTCTGCAGAATTCTTCGACTTCTTCAAATGGAATTGGATCTTTTCCTTTAAGGATGAGAGTTAGGGCCTCTAAGTACTTTCCTGTGACTCTGTAGATGGTAAGAGCGATCTTGGGATCAATGGATGAGTTAATGTAACTAAGATATTTCTCGGCAGAAATAAATTTGGAGTGTTGCTCAAGGATTCTGATGGCTTTGGTATTGATTTCCTCTTTAGCGGCTGCTTTAAGTTCGTTTCCGGTCAATTTCTGGATTCTTGCAGCAGATGTGAATTTAATATCTTTTTCTTTGTATTTATCTGAATCGAAGCCGGATAAAAGGATGATATACTTCTTGAAGCATTCATCGATAAGCTGAACTGATGGTGTATAGTCAGGTAAACACATCAAATAATCAATGTAAAGGATTCTCTCTTGTTCTCTGTTGTTCTTGGCGAGCCAGTTCAATACCATTGTTGTATCATGGTTCTTGGACAACAAGGAATTGATGGCGGCTGATGGACAATTTGGATAAATCCAATCAATCGTCTTAATGAAGAAATCTTGGTCAGAACATTCTTGTAAAGTGAAAGAACAATTCGTAAGATAAGCGGTATCCTTGGTTGTTTCGTATAATTGCTTCCAAATGTTGACGGCTTCCGAAATGTCTCCCTTCCTCGTTTTGAGAACGGCCAACGCTGGTGAAACTGGGAACTTCTTCTCAGAATTAGCGGTTTCAACGAAGTTCCAGAGAGTTTCTTTGTCTAATGATTCTTCATTATTTTGGATAATGATATCGTTGAGCTTTCTTGTCTCATGGATGATTGCGTAAACCTCTGCAAGTGCAGTTGTTGCGTATCTGATGACAATCGATGGTAATCCTTCGTTGACATAATCATTTACATTCTTTTCGAGAACTTCAGCGAGTTTTGTGTAGATATTTATGTAGTTCTTATTACCAGCGATCTGAATTGTTGGCGAAATTCTTGCTTTTCTGGTTCCTGGCAACTTAAGATCTTCAAACAAAGAAAGAAGCTCTCTTGGATGGGAAAGCCATGTAAATTTCGTAAGGAAATCTAAAGCGCCCATCTGATCTTTAGGCCACATGAGGTTAAAGATGCCAATTGCGGATTCTGAAGCTTGATCTGGAGAAAGAGCGGTGAGGAGCTTGTAGACCCTCTCAGCTTGACCTCCTGTGAGCATCTCAAGAAGATCGGATGGTGGAGGAATGGATCCAACAATCTTCCAAGCATCATTTGTAATAATAAGTAAATCTGTCTTGATCATGGTATATAATCTTACTCCTGGGACATCAAATACGATGGATGATGCTTCTGTAGTAAGGAGATTTGAGCGGATGAAGTTCTTTTGGAAGAATTGATATAATGCCTTTTCTGGACCGTAGAAAGCTAATGGGGGACCGTATGTTGGATGGTAGTTTGTTGTTTCGCCGTTTGCATCGTATGTTCCGCCTTGGATATTCATGAATTCTTGATATGTAACAAGTAACTGATTATTACCGATATTATGAACAATTGGTGTGGAAATAAGGGCTGAAGCAAGTTCTCTTGTTGCCTTGGTAGAGATGTCGTATGAATAATATGTCTTGTCGCAGCAATAAATTACTGTTTTCTCTGTCATTGCTGCTGCACGAACTTTTGATGGTGCATCGAAGGTGAAATCTTGGAGAAGAACACCTCCGCAGAAGCAGTATCCTGTAATTGCTTTATCATTTACTAATACAATTCTTGGATTTGCCTTTTTACCTGATGTTAAGGCAATCGAAGCATTTTGAGGGATGGTTGTGCGAATTCCACCGCGTCTGACAATTTCTACTGGACCTGGAGCGTCAGCAAGTGTTGTATAATGAACAATCATGACGCAAGGGTCTTCAACAGGGATAAGTGTCTTAATAAGATGGTTTCTGATTATTGGAGATAATGTGTATTTAATTGTAAATGATGATTTCCCTCCTTTATCTGTTTTCGACGCTACGTAAACATTTCCTGTTTTATCACCGACCCAAAGCAAGTCTCTGAAGTAAGTTACTGCTGTTGCATCGCTTGGTTTGATAATATCTTTAATCTGTTGGATGTTACTTGGATCTGTCATTTCAAATGAGATAAAAAAAAATTTTTTCATATCATTTTTTTATGCAAATTCAAAAAATTCTCAAATCAATCTTACAACTCGATATCTTGCTTATACCAAACAAATCATCGATTTATTACCTTAACATGGAAAAATTAGACATCATTTGAGCCATTATTAGAATATTTCCATGAGAATACTTACAGTAAAAGAGATGTTATTTCAAATTCTTATATAGAGAAGCATTAAATAATAAAGTTTATAAATCAAATTCAAAATCATATGCAAAAATATAGGTTTCCTTCTTTCAATCTTATACACTTAGATTATCAAAAGAAAACAAAGTATGATATCTATAAGATGGACTTATTTAAAGCAAAATTTCTTTCATATTAAATTAAAAATATTGTAAAATTAGATCTTTCTATCATATATGAGGTCTTAAAGAAAGTGAAATTAAAACTGAATAATATTAATTTTATAAAAAAATAATTTCGCTTCACAAAAAGAAAAAAGAAAGAAAATAACTAAATTAATCAGAGTTCGTCATCCTTAACTGGTTCTGGTGTCCACTCTGGCTTTGGAGGCATGGCAGCTTTGATTGGTTGCGTTGAATTATCCTTCAAAAGCTGTGCCATCAAATACAAGCTTCTGCGCTTTCCAATTGGGAATGGATGTGTCTTATTTGTGGCTGGGAACATCCATGCGTAAGGATAAGTCTCATTTCTCCAGATTGTAACAGGGATATCGTTGCATGAAGCGTTTACTGTAGCGAAAACGACGTGGGAGATGGAAGACTTCTTTGCCCATGTCGCTGTCTCGTAAAACAGGTCTTCTACCTCTTGGCAGTTCTTGCATGGCCATCCGTAAAAGTTGACAATGAAATCTTTCTCAGTATTCTCTAACTGCTTCTTAAGATCGGCTCCGGAGAATGTCATGAGAGGGTATCTGGCTCTTGTTGATGAAACTGGAGTTTCGATGAGGGTTTCTTTGATTTTTCCACGGAGATGGTCCATCGCGAACAGGGCAACAGCATTAGGTGATGGATTGCCTTTGAAAATCCACTTCTTGTAGTTGTATTGGTCGACTTGGAAAAATCCGTAAATTGGGAGGCTGAAGTTCTGAATATTGAGGCGGGAGAGGTTGACTTTGAGGGCTGTAGCATCGCCGTAGCGAATTGGAATCTTTGTAGACTCATCGGTGTTGATTTTTTCGGAAACTCTGTCGAGAACTTGGCGAACTTCGGCCATCATTGTGAGATTAGAGAAGTCGTAGATTGTGGCGAAGTACATGGCCTTGTTATCGTTGCTAACTGCGTTAAATGTGGAATTCATGATTTCATACTTGGAATCTATGTTCTTTTCGATGAAATCGGAAAGAGATTTGGTAGTAATCTTAAATGGATCGCCAGGATATGAGATATTCTTATCATCTTGAGTTCTAATAATCGTAATTCCTGGGAAAGGTGCATTGAATGCATCAGCAAGCTCGGCTGTTTGTGTGACCCACATATGTGACTTCTTCATGAATTTTGCACTGACAATTGACAAGATTTTATCGAGTTTTGCGTTGATATCAGGAAGAGCAACGATAATTGTAGCATTCATCTTTTCAACGATGGAGCGTGCTTCATCAACTTGATTTACGTATTTGTATTTAGAAGCAGTGACGTTGCAAACATAGAAATATGCTTCTCTTCCTTGTGTAGTGTTAGGAAGCTTTGCAATTTGTGTTCCATATCTAAATGCAAAGAGTGCTGGATATGTATCAACACCAAGTTCATCAGCAAGATCTGTGGCGTGACGAGCACTCAAAACAATATAATCTGCTTTACCATGCGATCTTTCAGCGGCGTAACGATATCCTTCAATCATTCTCTTGCAGTCATCATTATCCTTATCGTAGAAAAGAACAAGCGCTAAGTCATATTGGTCAATAGTATTTCGGAACTCTAATTCACGCATATAACGAACTGGATCGTTATCTTTTGTGTATCTTTTTCCTGGCCTACGGCGTGAAGATGCCAAGGCAAGGAAAAGAGAAAGGAATGAAAAGAGCATTTCTTAAGAAAAGTGACAAATAATTTGGTTGCGACGTTACGAAGTGTTTTTCATTCACACTAACTAATGTAACATTTGAATATTGTATGCCATAAAAATACTTTTTAGAATATAAATGTTCGATAAACACTCCAAAAAAATCTCGATTTTCCCTGAATTGAATTTTGAGACTTAATTTTTTATAAAATAAAACTTACATTAGCTATGATTTTCAAACAAACCATAAAAATAGTCTAATCAGTGTTCAATTCAGATTCAAATTATCAAAGTTAATTTAATTTTCATATAAGATAATGAGTTTGATTGGTAACTTTGATTTATATAAATTTTGTGCTCTTCAAGCCGATATTCTTAGGTAAAAAAGGGGGTTGGCGTCCTAAGGCGTCCTGATGTAAATTTCTCAAAATTGTGATATTTACATCACATTTTTGAGAGGTTTATGGGCGTCCTAAGGGAAAATTGAATAGCTAGGGCGTCCCGAATTTTCATTCTAAGATTTAAATATATTATATACTTAAGTATAATACAAGCAATATAAAAATTAAATTTTTATTATGTTAACTTATAAGAAATTTTTTTGAATTATCGTTGATTTATTGTAATCTTTCCAGGCTATACTTTTGAAATCAACTTTACCTGTCATACGCATTAATGTAGTAGATGTCCAGATGTAGCTATTATATCCCAGCAACATTGGTATTTTATCATTGTAAGATATCAAAATGAAGCGTTTTTTCAGATATAATTTTTCGTAAATTTTTCAAAAATAAGATGGTAAAAAAGCCTCGACTTGCTCGAAAAATAACAATTTTTTTACTTGTAAAAATAACCCTTTTACAGCATGGGCAGCTATTCAATCACTATTTCTTTTTCTAAAAGTATATTTTTCAAAAAAAATTAAGATCAAATTCGACAATTTCTTGATGAAAGCAAAAATATTACACATACTTCTAGATGCATGGGATAAAATATGCAATTATTCAATCAATTCGCATGATTTGAAAAAAAAATCTAAATTTGATAAAAATGTAGAAATTTTTTATTTTTAACTTGAGATTCGATTTTTTGATCCAATTTGTGAATTTTTTTTTGATCGGAATTTCAATTAATTTGTTGATCAAAAATGACCTCACAATGTTTGATCATAAGTGAAGTCATCTTCATGGGTATTTAGAAATTCCAAGAGAAATTGCTTATTTCTCGCAGATGTAATATCTGAGAAAATCGAATTTAAATATTCATAGAAACCCAAATCATTCTCCGGTTCGAATAATTCATCTGTTGCTTTTTCTGTTTTTTCTATGAATTTTAATAATTTGATTAATAAATCTTCATCAGGAAGAATTATTGCTGCATTTGTGATAAAATTCCATATTGAGGTAATATGGCAATAATTACATTTATAAAATGTAATTTTATCCAAAATTTTTTGGCAAATTCGCATAATAGCATTAATATTTGAAGCTGAGATTAAACCTGTGATTACTTCTGTAACTTTTGGAAAATCATCGCAATTTAATATCTCTTTATATTGAATTGAGAAATAAAAAAAAATCAAATGGATTCATTTCTTCAATTTCAAGGAGATTGTAAAAATTGATAGAAGTGTTATTGCAACAAATTGTATTTGCAGCAAAAAATATCATTTGCTCGATTCCATTTTTGGAATAAATTTGCTGGAACAATGTTAAATTAAAACAGTTGCTTAATTTTTCTTCATTGTTTTCATAAAAAAGTAACAAGTTTGCAACTGAAATTTCAAAATTTTGATAATTGCCAGTTATTTCAGTAAATATATATATTTGCTTTTCTTCATCTAAAAATGGCAAATATTGATTTGCAATATTAACTAAAGTTTGGGATAAATTGTTCCAGTTTGATTTTACAATTTGTGAGCACATTATGTAATATGTAAATTTATCCGCTTTGTAGGAATTTAAAATTGTTTGTTGTTCTGTTTCAGTTAAATTACTGAATTTTTCAAGATTAATATTGTGATAAAAAATAGAATCCTTGAAACATTCTGATATCTTTTCAATGTTTAAAACGGATGCTAAAAAATGTAAAAGAACTTCATCAGTCACTGTGATTTTTTTGAAAAATTTATCCCAATTCAAGCATCCAATTGATCTTTCTGTCATTGTACTTATGCATTGATAAAGTTGATTTAATGAATCCGAAGAATAATCATTATGCTTGACTAGTTGAGTTAGTTGATACAGACTGTCGTCAGCCATTTTAAAAAAATGAATAAAATTGTATAGTAAATTATATTTGTGAAATTTGTGACGCTACATTCAATCTAAAAAAAAAAAAAGGTAGTGGGGCCTCCAGGCACTTCGTGCCCTCTAGCCCTGAAGATGTTTAGTATAAATGAAGTTTTTTGGGTACTGGGGGCTTCCAGGCGCGTTGCGCCCTCTAGCCCATAAAAATTTTTGGTAGAGCACTCAAAATAGTATAACTTTATCCGGACAAGTAAGGGTCTATCGTCGCTACAGGAAAAGTTACAGGCGTTCCAAGGAAGTATACTTTGAGAAGCCTTTTCTGTCACTTTTCAGGGAAAAAACATTTTTATTATTATATATAAATGAATTTTACAAAACCACCGTTACCGTTCTTTGGAAATAAGAGTAAATGTAAAGATATTATATTGAGAGAACTTAAGAAACTACCGAATGGTCTAACATTTGTAGATTTGTTCGGTGGAAGTTTCTATATATCCCATTTGTGCCATACAATATTCCCAGACTCAAAGATTATATGCAATGACTTCGACAACTATATGGACCGTCTCAAACATATACCAGACACAAACAATATATTGAAAGCGTTAAAAGAAAAGATACCTATAGGTAAGATGGAACGTATACCATTAGATAAGAAAAATATTGTGAGAGAGGTTTTGAAAAAAGCAGAATATATAGACTGGGATAGTATATCTGCTAGACTATTATATAGTGGTTCTATAAGAGTTCATGACATTGAAACACTTATGTCAAATGTTTTATATCTTAACTATACAAATGTTTTCAAAGAGGACATAGAAAAATATATTGAGGTATAGAGTTTGTGAGATGTCGTTGGACAGAGTTGTATGAAAAATATAAAGACAAGGAAAATGTTTTCTTTATAGTGGACCCGCCGTTCTATAACACATGGGATTTTCAATACCAAGTAGACTGGACTTTGAGAGACTCTTTAGAAACTTTAGACGTTTTACATAACCATCCATGCTTTTACTTTACATCCGATAAAAGTGGTTTGGAAACCGTTATGAGATGGTTAGAGGACATACATGACTATGAGTTTAGATATGACAAGATAGAATATGAGAGAGGTCCTATAAACCGGAGAAAGTGTCATAACAAAGAAATTTTACTAGTAAGTAAATGTGGTTTGAAATAGGACTACTTGTTTTAGGTTTTTTCCATTGTGTCATTTATTTATTTGACGTGGCAGAAAAGTACAGAGAATATGAAGATGAACCAATGCCTGCAAATGTTCAGCATATGTACTCGTAAGAGATATTTTTATCTAATATTAAATGGACGCACAGAACTTAGCGAATGCACAGCAACCTGGACAACCAAACCCAGAGAATATTCCAAATGAAGTTAGAATACAAACTGCAATGGCAAACTATGGTCAAGTGCCAACAGATGTACAAATGCAAACTGCCATGTCAAATGACGCTGCGTTAGGTTTGCCACCATGGTATGCAAATATGAGATGGAAAGAGTTTTATACAAACCCTGAAGTGGGATATAAACAACTTTATGCAGATGACGCGAACACAGGAGTTGACCCAGAATATGTTTTCTACCAGAGGAGAAACAGAATGTATGAGCTCCAGTTAAAGAATGCTATGGAACTCAACAGGAAACGTAAGAGACTAGGCGGACATTAGATTTTTACATATAGTAAAATGGGTTTCTTCAGTAGTATTGGAAACTTCTTTCGAAATGTTGGAAAGGTATATGGAATGGAATAAAAACCGTAGGAAGAGGAATTTGGAACGGAGTCAAAAATATTGGTAAAAGAGTAGGTCAGTTCGTTGGTATTATACCTAAAGACCCTGAACCAGAAGAACAAGCTCCTGTTATACAACAGCCTGAACCTGCACCACAGTCAAGTTGGCAACCAAATCCAACACCTCAACCGTATTAAAAAATTATATTTTTACCGTTCGATAGTAGTTGTATATGAAACTAAGTTCTAAGTAAAACGCATGGTATAATGGAATTATTCTTTTTCTTCCATCTGTAGTAAACCATACTTGAAAGTCTGAAATACTTCCACTTGGTGGTTCGTATAACTTTGTAGGTTTTTCGTAAAAGTCATTTGCCAAGCATAAGAAAGAGTTTTGGGCGCCAGAAAATGAAGCATGATGAACAATAATAGCAGCTGGGTCGAAAACATTTTCATATGTTCCATTAGGTTTTCGACTTCAAAAAGTCTGGGTGTACTGGATATGCTGCAGGCTGATTTACATCCTCATAATCTATACCATGCCAAGTTGTTATATTTTGTAGAAATATAAACGTTTTCTCCAAGGTCTTCTATTCTATTGATTTTAACAGTTGCATTTTTCCTGTCATAAATAATATCGAGATGGTATTCTCCTTCGTCAATGTTATACTGGTTTGCTATTCGATATAGATATCGTTTATTTTTTTTGAAAAGCTTGAAAGTTGTTTCTAAGTTTACAAGCAAACTAACTTGTAAAAGTTTTCCCTGTTCAAATTTCTCATACGTACGTTTTTCTTTGTTATAGTATCGAACTTCAAAACCGACTGTAAATGGGAAACCATGTATGGCTTCTGAAATGAACTTCATTCTACGAAAGCCAATAGCTTTTGTGACGGATGGGTCTCTTAACCATCTTAACGGGTAGTCAAAACGATAGCCTTCATGCTTTACGGTCTCTGTCTCAAACTTTTGACCGACATTAGTAAAAAGTTCATCTAATGGTTTAGTTGTAGCAACTCTAGAATTTTCTTTTTCTATTGAAAGCATATTTTATCTAGAATAAAAATGTCAAATGAAACAGCGTCTATGAGAGAAATACAACACAACCGACAACTCATTATACAAGCTCTAAATAAGAACACAACAAACTTTTCAAACTATTCTAAGATATCTGAGTCATTGAAAGAAGGAAACTTAAAACTGACATTAAACCCAATGACAGATGAGTTTCTATTTCAAGACAATAAGAACTATACTGTCTGTATAAATCCAACAAAAGGAACTTTAAACGAGAAACCTATAAATGAACTTCTTTTGAAAGCAGATGTTGACAACAAAGCTGACAAAGAATATGTAGACGATGCAATAGCAAAAGAAGAAGAAAGAGCTAACAAAGCTTATGCAACAAAAGAACATACTCATCCTGAACTAGCAGACAAAACATATGTTGACAATAAAATGTCAAGTGAAGTGACAAGAGCTGAAAACGAATATTCTAAAAAGACTCATATACATTCTATATCTGATATTACAAACTTACAAGAAACCTTAAACAGGAAAAGTGCCGTTGGACATACACATACCATTGCAAATATTACAAACTTACAAGAAACCTTAAACAGGAAAAGTGCCGTTGGACATACACATACCATTGCAAATATTACAAACTTACAAGAAACCTTAAACAGGAAAAGTGACGTTGGACATACACATACCATTGCAAATATTACAAACTTACAAGAAACCTTAAACAGGAAAAGTGCCGTTGGACATACACATACCATTGCAAATATTACAAACTTACAAGAAACCTTAAACAGGAAAAGTGACGTTGGACATACACATACAAGTTTTACAACTTTTACAGCAGATGATATTACACTAAACACAACCTTGCCAAGTAAAGGTCCAACAATACCACCGGCAACAAGTCTTGTAGATACTTTGATGTCTAATGACAATAATATTATACATCTAAGACAGGAACTCAATGTGCTTAAACAAATTTTGCCGAATCTTATTTACCCGGTTGGCTCATTATATGTTTCAATGAACTCTACCAGACCAGAAGTAGTACTTGGTTTTGGAACTTGGACTCAAATAGTCGACAGGTTTTTGTATTGTGCAAACTCTTCAAAGGAAACAGGTGGAAGTAAAACGATTTCAGGTGAAAATTTACCTGCACACAGTCACTACATAGATTTAAGTACATCTCGAGAAGGTTGGCATAAGCATAGATATTGGGAATGGTCAGGAATGACAAAAGGTAAAGGATATGATGTTAAAGACGACGTTCAGTTTGCTATAAATTGTTACTGGAGTGACACTCAGGGAGGAGGAGACCATTCACATTTCGTTTCAGGATATACGCAAACAACGGGACAAAGTAAAGACTACATGCCACCTTACATGACAGTTTACGCATGGTATAGAATTGCTTAGTCGTCATTTTCAACTTCTTTAGCATATTCGTCAGGAGTTGTCTTATATTTGTTAGGAACTGTCTTTGAAAGTATACCACCTTGAACTTTGACAAGTTTGAAACGAGGTCTGACAATAGTAGTTTTATCTTCTGCTTGCAGTCTGTACATTTTGCCATGTTTGCCTAAAACTTCATAATATTCTCTTGTATACTTTCTTCTATTTTTACGAACACGAATGTGAGTACCTGTCGGGTTCCCATTGTTGTCATAGTCAATAGTATTTTCATATGGGTCGCGTTTAGGTATTTCTATTTTTACTTTGTCACCTTTCTGAAGTTTGAAGCCCGGCATTCTTTCTTGTTTGTCTCTTTTGACTAAATTATTAAATATATAGTCTTTCTCTAAGTCAGGGTTGTTTTTCATTTCTTCGGGGGAGTGGTTTCCCAAACCTTTTTGTTTACGGTTATTGTAAATATTTAAAACTTGTCTCATCTTTGCCATGGAGAAGTGTCTATATTTGTCGTCATATGACATTTCATTTGCTTCACCACCTTGTGGTTGGTTTAAGTCTCTTAACATTTTTATACAACCGTCAATGACACCAAGAGCAGAATGGTTTTGGTCGACAATGAAATATTGGTTTACATTTTTTGAACGCAGATAGTTTTTTACATCGTCTGATTTGAAAGAACTTTCACAGTCAGATGTCAGTTTTGTTGGATGGTATTTGTCAACGAATATTGTCAAAGCAGTTTTCACATCTAAAATATTTTTGGACCATAATGGTATGGCTTCACAGTATCTTGTGTTTTGACCAACAAATATTAACCAGTATGGTGGTCCATCTGTTCTAACTCTCGGAATGTTTTCCAAGATATCCATAAACCAAGCATTTGGTGTTGAACTAAAGATTTTTATCATGAGTGCTTTCTTTGTCGCTTTAGAAACATAGGGGTCCTTGTTTGAATTCGTCATTTTTTAACCCATAAGAAATGGGTTTATTTGGCGCATTAGCAGGAGTCGCATCTAGATTTTTACCCGCAGTGGGAACAATAGCCAGAGGTGTATTTGGAGTTGGAAGGAAGATTTTGAGTACATTAGGTATACTGAAAGAGAAAGCACAACCTATTATACAAACTGTACAGAAAGGTTGGGATGTAGCACGAGATGCAACAAATCTTATTCCAAATCCTGAAACAAGAGGAAAAGTTCAAGGATGGATGGACAATGTAGGAAGACAAGCAGGAAACTATTATAACAAAGCAAATGACTACTATAACCAAGCAGGACACTATATGGACCAAGGTGAAAGATTCTTTAACAGAGGATATAACCATGCACAACAGTGGGTAAACAATAACCAACCTCAACCGCCTCAAACTTGGGGAATGTAAAATTTTTTACTGAGATGAAATGAACAATACAGCATTGAGACAAATGGGTTCAAGATGGATTTGTCGGCTTCCAGCAGTTACACAACGTGTTTGTCAAGTTCTTCCTATACATCAGGAAGTTTTAGACCGACTTAAAAAACCTCAACAACCAGTTGAAAACAAACCAAACTAAAATTTTTTACTGAGATGAAATGACCGAAGAAGTTGAAACGGTAGATTTGACACCACAAACAAAAAGTTCAGAACCATTGTCAAAACCTGTCAAAGAACTTACAGATGAAGAGAAAAATTCAATAATAGAAAGTGCCAGGTCTGGAAATACAAACCCTAACTACAAAGTCACTTTTCATAAAAATGGAACGGCAAGTATCTCAAAAAAGAAACAGACTCTCACAAATAAAATATTGAAGTCTGAAGGAGCTTTCGAGACAACAGATGGAAAAGTTTACTTCACTGACCAACAGTTCATTATAGAACATCTCATTGACTTAGAGTCGAAATATTCTAAACTTTACAACAAACACAAAAAGTTGAAAGGAAAACAAAAACAAATGGCATATGATATTTATGAAGATGTTGACGACACAACTGTTCCTGCAGGTGAAGTAAAGTCAGAGAAACCGAAAAGTGACGAAAAACCGATAGAAGAAGAGAAACCAAAAACTGAAGATAAACCAAAACCAAAGTTTAGTTTCCAAACTAAACCAAGTCAACCTTCATTAGCTGGTATGGGTTGGCGTCAAAGACTTATGGCAGCAGGCGGTTATGTTAAGTAAAGAGAAAAAAAATATTTTTTTATTTTTATAAAAATGCCCCCATATAGAATGGATAGAAAATCTGCTAGAATAAAAGCAGAGTTGCAAAGATATGGTTGGAGAGTTTCGAAGAATTTTAAATATAGGAAGGGAAGACCCATAAAAGTCTATGACAAATTGTCTGGTCTTCGCTACGAAATGGATTTGGAAACAGCACGTGCAAATTATCCAAACAGACTAGAGAGGTTAGAAGAAGAACGTCTTATGGACATGCCTTTCGATGTTAGTGAACCTCAAGTTGAAGGACACGACGGCTTTGCCAGATTCTACTGGAAACATGACGAACAATTGCATCCTTTGAGAAGGAAAAAAGGTAGTGCAGAGGATGGTCATGCTCCCATGGAAAGAACAAGATATGCATATGAGAAGTACCGTGAAGTTAGAAGTCAAATTACTTCTGGTCGAACCTTTACAGTAAACTTTGACGAAGGAAAGAACAAAGAAGGCTTCATGGGTGTACTTGCTGCCATACAAGACGGAAATAAGAAAGGACACAATCTCAGATTGACCATAACAGATTTGGATGGTCACATTTACTATGCACATGGCAATGAACAAACAGCTGCAATGCTTCTTGACGCTTTCAAGACTACAAAGAGAGAACAAATGGTTGACTCCGACTCAGACATTTTGAATGCAATTGAAGGAATTGCAAGTGTCAAGTTCGAATGGTACCAACCTAACCCTCAAGCAGTCAGACAACATGCTGGATACTTCCCCTTCAGAAATAAGTCTGACATTGACTTGACAACTACAACAAATTCTTCTCCGAAGTCAAATCCAAAGTGAAGGTTTACTATGAGAACATTGACGCACTCATGACGAACGAAGAAGGATACAACAAACTCATTGAAATGGGAATGGTCGGTGAAAAGATGGGCTGTTTTAAGCTAGATAAGGTATTTTCCGAAGTTCATGTCCTCTCCAAGCGTAAGTACTGGGGCATACTTGAAGACGGCACAGAAATAAAACATTGCATGAAGTAAAAACGTTTTTCAAAAAAGTGACATTTTTTTTATTTTATTTGAACTGTACGCTGAGTTTGTTGGAGAAGACCGTTGGGAAACTTGTTTGTTAGATGAGAAATATGAAATGGCATACCATTTTAAAACAATATATTTTTACATATATTAAATGCTTCAGGTTGAAAAACAAAGAACAAAAGTAGCAGATACAAAACCGTTAGACTATATCTTTACAAATGCTGGTAGGACTATTTCAGATGAAGAAATTTCATCCCGACATACAGGTTTGACTATCCAATTCGTTGGCTTCAAAGTCCTTCAGATGCAAAGGCAATAGGATTTAGAAGAGTTTTGTTTTCAAATAGAACTAACGCATTTATGTTCGCAGTATATTTTCATGGGCAGTATAAAGGTCCATTTCAATAGACAAATTTGATGAAATGAGAATCTTTACAGTTCGTTCAGACGAAAGTCTTGAGAAAACTCTAAATGACTTTCAAACTCAAATGAACAAATACTATTGGGAATTTCAAGAAAAATACGACTCTTTACTAAATGGAACATACTATCTGAAACTAGAATATGACAAGATGAACTCCACCGTTTCATTTCAAAAGATTGAAATTAACCCTCCAAGAGATACAGAGTTTTTATTTTGGAAAGTAGACAAACGTTCTTGGGCACAATTTCTTCGGTTACTAAACCAGAACGAACCATTACCACCAGATGGTCCATTTAAATTTATACTTCCACCAGCAGATTTGACAGTTTATAGAAACGTGTTTGACCCTCAAAATGTTATGTGTCATGCAAGTTTCAGTTCAAGCAACAATAGTTTTCTATGTATTGGTAAGGACTTTTATGACTTTGCTTCTAAATTCTACGAACCACCTAGTAACAGTTTCTCTGACTTTCAAGTTTGGTTCACAACAAATGGTGTGCAACATATTATTCCATTGTACTATGACTTTTATCTCGAATTGTCTTTCATATACAACTACGGAAAAGTGCTGAAAAAGTGAGTTTATGTTAGCATGTTAGATCTCACCTCTTTTCTCACCTAATTTTTCACCCTCTTGAATTTTCATGAATTTCCTTAAGATAGAAAAAAAGTGAGTTAAAATGAGATGTTTACTGAAGGGGTCACCATGTCACTCGGTCACTCGGTCATTTAACATCTTTTTGAAAATGGTGACAACATGACATTTCGACAACAGTCGGGAAAATGTCAAGACTTCTTCATCGCAATGAGTGTAAATGAACCAAAAATATATTTTAGGTGAAGAGGTGAGATCTCACCTGTTTTTTCACCTGTTTTTTCACCCGTTGAAGGGGTCACCATGTCACCGGGTAACCATGTGTCACCAGGTAAACTAACTTCTTTTAAAAAATGGTGACAACATGACATTTCGACAACAGTCGGGAAAATGTCAAGACTTCTTCATCGCAATGAGTGTAAATGAACCAAAAATATATTTTATGGTAGCATGTTAGATCTCACCCGTTTTCTCACCTCTTTTTTCACCCGTTGAATTTTCATGAATTTCCTTAAGATAGAAAAAAA